TTGTTAAATTGAGCTTTTGTTTTAAAAAATTGACACAAAACGCTCACCGAATGTTTCTCTCTGAATTGGAAGTCACGCAAAACATTCTCTCTGAATTCTCTCTGAATTGGAAGTCAGGCAAAACGTTCTTTCTGAATTGGAAGTCAGGCAAAACGTTCTCTTTGAATTGGAAGTCAAGCAAAACGTTCTCTCTGAATTGGAAGTCAAGCAAAACGTTCTCTCTGAATTGGACGTGACGGAAAACGTTCTCTCTGAATTGGAAGTCAGGCAAAACGTTCTCTCTGAATTGGACGTGACGGAAAACGTTCTCTCTAGTTGGACGTGACGCAAAACGTTCTCTCTGAATTGGAAGTCAAGCAAAACGTTCTCTCTGAATTGGACGCCACGCAAAACGTTCTCTCTGTATTGGACGCCACGCAAAACGTTCTCTCTGAGTTGGAAGTCACGCAAAACGTTCTCTCTGAATTGGACGTGACGCAAAACGTTTGCAAATTCCCAAATTCACATTTAAATTCATCAAATTCATCAAATTCATCAAATTCATCAAATTCCCAAATTCACATTTAAAATTACATTTAAAAGCTTCAAGTGTTCGTACACTTGATTGAAGCGTTTTTTTTTTTGCAAAATTCCCCAATTCCACAATGTAGCTGTTCTGTGAGCGAAAAAAATCGTTCATTTTGTATTTCGGAAAAATGATTGATTCCTTTTTGCATTCACAATAAATTCACAAATGTTTTAATGAGAAATTTTCGAAATTTCGGAAATTTCAACACCGGAAATTTCGATTTTTCGATTCGATTACCTTTTTTTTCTCTCTCACTTTCTCATCAAAATAGTTCCTCATTTTGAGTGAATTTTGCTCGACTTCTACCCTCACAATGGAAAAGTTTAATTCTCGGAAATCATTCCAACGAAATGACTCCAATTATTCTTCTTTTTTCATCCTTTTTCATTCTTTTTTCATTCTCTTTTCACTTTTTTATATTCGATCTTGAATTCGTTTTCTCTTTCTTGAACTTTCAGCTACTTTCTGAATAGGTTTTCTCTTTCTTTCTCTAAACCTTTTCTTTCTTTATTTCTTTCTTTCTTTCTTTCTTTCTCTAAAGCTCTAAAGCTCTAAAGCTCTAAAGCTCTAAAGCTCTAAAGCTCTAAAGTTCTAAAGCTCTAAAGCTCTAAAGCTCTACAGCTCCAAAGCTCTAAAGCTAAAGAAGTTCTTCTGGTGCAAGTTGAGCATTCTTCAGTCCTTTCTTTCAAATAGATCTTTCAACATTGATTCTTTTCCAAATCTTTTCGATTAGCTTTTTTCTTAACTCATCTTTCTCATCAAAATCATGCTTGGAAGAACTAAAATAATTCTCGATTTTCCTTCATGAATTTATTAACAAAATTTTCAAAAATTTGCTAGTTATAGATTGTTGTTATAGATTTTCTTGCTTATTCAATGCTTTGTTTTATTCGTCATACTCTGTTCACAAGAATTCATTGTTTTTAGAAGTTAGAAAAGGAAAAAGATATCAGGTTTTGGTCAGGGTTCAAGGCCAAGGCCAGGGCCAAGGCCAGGGCCAAGGCCAGGGCCAAGGCCAGGGCCAGGGTCAAGGCCAGGGCCAGGGCCAAGGCCAGGGTCAAGCTCAGGGCCAGGGTCAAGGCCAGGGTCAAGATCAGAGCCAGTGTATTAAGAACCCAGATCAGTTGAAAGCCTGACCAAGTCAGTCGAAACTTGTTAGCTTGGCCAAAGGCAAAACTTGATTCGTATTTAACATGGACTGTGAATAGCAAATTTACCAGCAAACAGAAATTCTTTGGAGTAAAGTTATTCGTTGTACCCTTTTGCTTAAAAAGGTAGCAAGACTAATTTTGGCTTTGGCTTAATTTCCTAGTTTGGCTTTGCCTTTGACCAGGAATGTTTTAAAAGCCAAGGGCCAAGCCAAGGGCCAAGCCAAGGGCCAAGCCAAGGGTGAAGCCAACGGTGAAGCCAAGGGTCAAGCCAAGGGTGAAGCCAACGATGAAGCCAAGGGTCAAGCCAAGGGCCAAGCCAAAGGCCAAGCCAAGGACCAAGCCAATGGTCAAGCCAAGGGCCAGGCCAAGGGTGAAGCTAAGGACCAAGCCAAGGGCCAAGCCAAAAGCATGATCTTGCCTTGCTTTTTTGGGTTCTTTGCAAGATCAACCTAGTCTTTCGTAGTCAAAAAGCCAAAATAGAATAATTTCCAGACATTCTTCACAAGTTCTCGCCTCATTTTCTCCGCAAAAAGTGCACATTGACATCAAAAATGCATTCAGAAATCATCATTTTCCCCTCAAAAAGAGCTTTTTTTTTCTAGATTTTCCAGGTGATCTAACAGAATTTTTCATCTGTTTATTATTGACCACGAGAATTTTTCCCTAAATGAAAACTGAATATTCTGAGTTTTTATTTTCGTACTTCTTCTTGAATTTTGCTTTCTTTCGATTCGATTTCTTTCAATCTTTGGCTTTTTGAAAGGTTTAGATAAGTATTAATTAGATAAGTAGTTTTCTTTTCAATTTACTATATCAACATGTCAATAACCGCAGCTAAATCAGAGCTAAACCTTATCATGTGGTTGCTTTACCAATGATTGATGCCTTTGTTTATTAATAAAAGCCGATAAGTTCATGGTTCAGGAGTTATTAGCAAAGGCAGAAGCTAAATTTTGTTACAATCTTTATTTTAAATGTTGTTTTCTTTGGCTTTGGCTTGCTTTAAAGCTGGCTTAGGAGTTGGCTTGCTTTAAACACTTCACCATTGCTCTACCTCTAGATTTACTTACCAAATTTTGTTTTAAATTCAATATTTTAAATCTTACTGCTTTGGAATTGTTAAAGATGACAAAATGGTGATTTGCAAAGCAGAATCTTGCTTAAACTTACCACCACTTTTCTTTGCAAAGCACAGTCAGCAACAGTTAACTCAGCAACAGTTAAATCAGCAACAGTTAAGTCAGCAACAGTTAACTCAGCAACAAATCCTTATCATCTGGCTACTTGGTTGCACTAAACCTGAGCTAGCCAAGGTTCAAAGTCAAGGAACTTTACGGTTGGCGGGGGTAGCGGGGGACAATTTTTTGGCCAGCTTGCAGCCCATTTTTAAGCACCTTAAACTTGTCCAATCAGGAAGTTTTAATAAGATTTAAATACCTTAAAACGTCAGCTTTCAGAAACTATTTGTTCCATAAAAAGTTATTAACAAAAACCTAGCTAAAATCGGGCTCCAAAATGGTCAAAATTTCGCCCCCCTCCGTAACCGTAAAGATCCGAAAAAAGCTTTGATTAATGTTTCAATGTTCAATGGTTCAATGCTTCAACAAATCGATTCGAGTTTTCAACGCTGATTCTAAATCTGTAACTTTTTCTGGTGATTTCTGTATCGCAAGCTATCTGGCAAAGTTTAGAACCCGGCCCCCTGGGAGCCTAGCTGTTGGCCAAGTTGCAGCTCATTTTTAATCACCTTAAACTTGTCAGATCGAGAAATTTTAATAAGATTTAGATAGCTTAAAACGTCAGCTTTCAGAAACTATTTGTATTATCGAAAGTTATTAACAAAAACTGATAAAAAGTCGGGTTGCAACTTGGTCAAAAACCTGGCCACCTCCGATAATCACTACCACCCGCCGTTAACCGTAAAGGTCCAAAATCAATTATTGCAGATATTGCTCAGTTTTCAAAAATAACAATATAATCAATCACTAAGCAAACAAACTTCTTTAATTTCCTTTTATTTAGTTGTACATACCCGGTTAAAAGCCAAAACCCAGGGAATTTGTGGATGAGATCTTGTGCGGGGAAATCGCTCAGAACTCTTGATGCTCTTGATGAAATCGCTCAGAACAATCTTGCTCTAGCTCTGTCAGATTCTCTGGAATTGCTCATTTCTCTGGTATTGCTCATTCTTGAAAACCCCTTTTCTCGTTTCATCTCCAATATTTGATCTTTTGATCACATCTCAAAGTGATCCATCTTTTGCCCATTCATTTCATTTCATTTCATTTCATTTCATTTCATTTTATTTCATTTTATTTCATTTCATTTCATTCATTCATCTCCTAAATATCTTCTTTCAAAGAACTCATCCATCAAAAGTTGCTGAATTGGCATTTTTGGTGGTAGAAAAATAGAAAAATAACAGAAAGTCAAAGGTCCGATTGAAAAGTGAATGAATGAAGTGAATGAATGAAGTGAATGAACGAAATTGAACACATTTCTTCAATGGTTGATCATTTTAGAAGCAGAAATCAGAAGATTTTGAGAAAAGTGATGCTTTCTTTTCGTCTATGATGCTTTCTTTTCATCTTTTCATCATCATTTCCTCTTCATTTGACTATTCAGCAATTCCGATCATTGCCCACTTTAATCCAACCAAATTTTTCGAATCTAGACATCTGATGGGACTCTAGTTTCTAACAATATTGTTTATTCGAAAGAAAAAGCGATTCAACTCCAGCTATTCAATCTCCTTTCTTCTGGTGAAATCGAATTTTGTGCATTCTTGCGCCTGAAAGTGATTTTTCTAGAGCTAAAATTTCTATTATCATATTTACGATATATTTTAGCGTGTTGCTTTTTATCGGGGCCCTTTTCGTGTTATGTCCATGAATTCATGTGTTTTAATCGTAAATCTAGCGCACATTTTCTCGACTCCTGAATAAAGTATCTATATTAACAATATAGATTGATTTTTTGCTTATAAATTGTCAAATTTCCTTTTCGAACATTAAAAAGCAATGTATTCTGTTTGAATTTTTCATTTTTTCACTTTTTCAACACTACTTTCACTCATTTCTCTTCTTTTTCTCTTCTTTTTCTCTTCTTTTTCATTTCTTTTTTCATTTCACGATTTTGAAATTGATTTTCATGATCTTTTCATCTTTGAAAGGTTAAAAACAAACAAAAAATTTCAGAATCTTTTGAAGCTGAAAGCGAGATTGCTGAATTTGCTGAAAATTGTCTACAACTTGTTTTTTTTCCTTTTTTTCTGATAGAAAATGGAGCCATCCGATGAAGAGTGAGTTGAATTTAAAAAATCGCTTTTAAAATCGATTCATTATCTTTCAAAAGTCTTCGAAAACAAGACTGAAATCCTAGCTTGACCAACACAATTCTAGAATTGCTGGTGTTTTCAAAGATTTCAACAACACCGGGAATGATGGAGAAGCTGAGAAGCAGCTGATGACCGTTGTTTACAGTCTGCTGGCGTTGTTCGGGTGAGTTTCTTCAGTTCTCCAGTTCTTTTGAAAACGATTTTTCCCGGGGAAAAAAGGCCAATACAAGGCCCGAAGCTGTCTGGATTGGGCAGACATTCTCCTGAGTAGGAAACTCTTTGAAGTTATATTTTAGGAGCGATCTGATTCCGAGGTGATTCCCCCGATTAAGAGCATTCCAAAACTACTTTCAAATCCTATTTATCATAAGCCGTTTTCGAGATACAAGCCATCAAAGTTTTGACCAATTTCGCTCAACAGTAAGCTAGGCTGTTTAAAGCGTTGGCGCGGATCGTTTGCGGATTCGCGCGGATCGTTTCGGTGGCCTGGTGGATAGTGTGTTAGCGCGCGGTTTGTATCCACTATTGTTTGTCCCTGGTTCGAATCCTCTCGCGGACAAAATCATTTTGCCTCCTTATTAAGGCATAAAAATTGATTTTTAAGTGTTCTAAAGTCTTTACAAATATTATTTAGCAATATTAGATCTATAAGAGTTGAAAGGGGAACTGAAAATTGCCTCCACAACTGCTGATAAAGTTTGAACTGAGTTTTTTTGAATGAAACATCGATTGAAGGCTATTGAAGGCGATTGAAGGCCACTAGGCTGGCTTGCTGTTTGCTACCTTGTTGCTAGCTTGTTGCTAGCTTGCTGTTTGGCGAAATTGGTCGAAACTTTGAAGGCTTATATCTGAAAAATCGCTTATGCTAGGTAGGATTTGAAAAGAGTTTCGGGATGTTCTTAACCAGGGAATGTTTGCACCTCGGAATCAGGTTGCTTCTGAAATATCTAACTTCAAAGGGCTCTTTAGCCCTGGCTATTAGCCGGGCTTGAACCTGGCTATTAGCCGGGCTTGAACCTGGCTATTAGCGGGCTTGAACCTGGCTATTAGCCGGGCTTGTAACTGGCTATTAGCGGGCTTGAACCTGGCTATTAGCCGGGCTTGAACCTGGCTATTAGCGGGCTTGAACCTGGCTATTAGCGGCTTGAACCTGGCTATTGGCCCGGCTTGAACCTGGCTATTAGCCGGGCTTGAACCTGGCTATTAGCCGGGCTTTTGGCCTCTTCTTGTTGGGTCCACAGGCTGTAGATTGGTTAAAACAGCATTAGTTTTATACAAAACAAATGAGATTGATCTTTTAATCAGCAAATTTCCAAAGTTAACTTCCAAATTTTAGTCTCTTGGCGAATCTGCTCTTTTGTTTGGTGATCTGGAGAAATGAGAAATTGCACACAGTGACGCATGTTCTGATGATGAATCTCGCTTTATCAAATCTCCTCTTTCTTTGCTTCCATCCCTCGTACATCATCACCACATATCTCTTGCAAAGAAGCTTTGTCTTTGGTAGGTTTTGATGGATTTTCTTGGCGTTTTGATGGATTTTGATGGAAATCTTTTAGGCACTTTTGTCTGTAAGACTTCCTTTTCGATCGCTTACGTTACATCGACAGGTTTGTTGAAAAATTGGACAATTATTGGACAATATTGAACGGTCATCAGAACTCAAGAGTGAAAACACACCCACAGATTTGAAATCTTGAGAAATCTAAAGAATCTAGGGTTGGCAGAAGGGTTGTGGTGCTAAAAGCTGCTGCTTTAAAGTTGGCTTAGGCGTTGGCTTGCTTTAAAGCTGGCTTAAGCTTTGGCTTGCTTTACAGCTGGTTTAGGCTTTGGCTTGTTTTAAAGCTGGCTTAGGCGCTTTGGCTTGCTTTAAAGCACAAAACGCTTTCCAAAACTTGATTGTTCTTTTCGAATTCAATATTTCAGCCTCTTTCTATATGATGAGCCTCGTAGCGATTGATCGATGGCTGGCGATTTTCAAGAGAAAATACCGGCTCACTCGCTCGAACAGTATTTGTTTGGTGGTTTTCGCGTGGGCGATCTCTTTTGTCGTCGCTGCTCCGTACATGTACTCGGCAAGGGTGAGTGAGATAAGTGAAACAAAAATAACCTACCGTAAATACTGTAATACTACCCCACTCCCATAACGACGGTGCGGAGCGTTGCGTAGCTCTAGCTTTGAACGAGTTTTTCTCGACACTGGTTTATGCTACAATGTTCGTTTGGGTATCAAAAAATAGCTGAAATTCAGGGCTATTTTTTGATACCAAAGCGCGCATTGTAGCTTAAACCAGTGTCGAGAAAAACTCGTTCAAAGCTAGACTGCCCTGAAGCCCTGAATCTCAGCTATTTTTTGATACCAAAGACGCATTTTTTGAAAGTATGGGTGCTTTGAAAAAAGGGAATAATAAAAAGCTTTTGCGACTACGCGACTGTACGAGGGGAGGGTGGGGTTCTATTAAAGTATTTACGGTAAATAAGCCATTCATACAATAAATACAAGTTCATAAAAGGAAAGAGGCTCTTTTCGTGCGGTTTAATTACCCACGAGGGGTGAAAAAAGCTGCTAGAATCATCGGAATTTGACTGAAAAGTTACTTTTTTGGTTTTTTGGTCAGAATTCGGTGATTTTGGATTTTGCTTAGAAAATTGAGTTTTCACAAAAGGAAAAGCCATTCATACAATAAATACAAGTTCATAGAAGGAAAGAGGCTCTTTTCGTGCGATTTAATTACCCTTAAAGAGTTTTTGTTTACTAGAAAAGATTCGTTTACACTTTTAAAGCTTGTTAAACATTAGAGAGTGAGCGATTCGATCAATCGATCCGATTTCAGGTCAAAGACTTCAATTCGGTCAATGAAATCATCCAAAATCATCAAGAGAAACGACCGAAATTCATCGAAGACATTAAAAAGGATGACATCTTATATGATGAACAAGTTTTCGAGAATCTATCAAAGATTTTGGATAATATCAAATTGAGTAGCAAAGATGACTCGGATTTGCCTGGTGAGAGCCAAAAAATATTCATTTTTAATGGTATTGCATTCATTTTAATGGTATTGCAAACACTTTTTCAGATATTGCAATCATGAACACGACTCGATACCGATGCACATCAGATACAGCCAGTAATACAGTGTTGATTGTGGGTTAAAGTTTGCGTATTTTGAGTATTTGAGTATGTAACTTTGTAAGTAAATTTGAAAATTGTGAATTGAATTGTGGATTGAATTGTGAATTGAGTTTTTTAATTGAATTTTTAATTGAATTTGATTTTCGTAAATTTTCTCTTTTAGTGGACTGTCGTCCTTCAATATGTTGTTCCGTTGTTGATCATGATCCCGACTTATGGGTGAGTAATGGAAAAGCAATTCTTCTAATATTTCCCCGCTTACTGCTGTAGGGATGGTTTGCTAGACTACAATTGCTAGACTACAATTGCTAGACTACAATTGCTAGACTAGAGTTGCTAGACTAGAATTGCTAGACTAGAGTTGCTAGACTACAATTGCTAGACTACAATTGCTAGACTAGAATTGCTAGACTAGAGTTGCTAGACTAGAATTGCTAGACTAGAGTTGCTAGACTACAATTGCTAGACTACAATTGCTAGACTAGAATTGCTAGACTAGAATTGCTAGACTAGAGTTGCTAGACTAGAGTTGCTAGACTAGAGTTGCTAGAACGTTTAAAAATAGCCCATTTAAAAATCGTAAGAGATAAAGGACCTGGCTCAACGCTTTTTAACCTCTATTGATCTTAAAGAAAGAGTCCGAATTGGGAAATCAAATAAACAATCAATTCTCACCGAAATCAAATATAAATTTGTAGAAAAATCTAAAAAAATCAAATCCGAACAAATTAAGATTCAAAGAAAAATAAAAAGTAAAAAGTTTGCCGAGTGGGGATTCGAACTCGAGACTCACGAGTACCAGATTCGTTTTGTAGCCAAGGGCACTATCCACTACACCACGACAGCCGTTGGGACAAAAGCGTAAACTGATTCATAAGCTCTTAGACTGAGCGTAAACTTTCCAAGAACTTGAAAAAAGTCAAGAGAAAATGAGAAAGCAAAAAAAAGGGAAGCACCTTATGCCAGGGCCGTTTGCCAGATTGGGAGCGATTACGCTCGCGCACAAAGAACATCTCGTCAGTCGTTAGAATTTCTCTTTGATGATATAAAAAGAAGATATTCAGCTCTGAATTTGTACCGGGGGTTTCAGGGTTGATGAATCGATTGGCACTATTCATTTTATTGAGTCTACCAATTGAAACTCGGATTTAATTGGTTGAAAGTACAGAAAGTACAGAAAGAACACCTCCGTACAACCTCCCTTTAACACAGGGATTTTTCTATTGCTTTTATAGATGGTATAGCTGTAAAGCTCTGTAGCTCTTTAGCTCTGTGGCTCTGTAGCTCTTTTTCTAGTTAGAAACGGTCCTAAATCGGTCCTAAATCGGTCCTAAATCCGATCTCCGTCTTTAAAATCGTTAAATCAAGTCTATCATATCAAAAAAAGTGTCTAGTGACCACGAATTTTTAGACATTTGGCTTTATTTGTGTGGAAACGAGCGCCAATCGGTGTACAATCGCGAGAGAAACGCGAAAGGGCGCATCGAAGAAGAAGGAAACTGCTCGTCACTTTGCTCTCAATTGTGCTATTCCTTGTGAGTTAAGGATGTTTATAAGTTTCTAACTTTATAAGTTTCTAACTTTATAAGTTTCTAACTTTATAAGTTTATAAGTTTATAAGTTTATAAGTTCATTTTAATAAGTTCATTTTTATAAGTTCATGTTTATAAGTTTTTGCTAAACCTCGGCTATAAGTTTTACGATTAATTTCAAACATTTAACAATCTTCCAGCTTTTAAGCACGTTTAATCTAGCCTTTTCTCTGTCAATTTGCCTTAACTTTGATCAAATCTAAAGCCTTATCTCTAAAACTTTAGCTCAAAAAGCTTTTCAATAAGATTCCGAGAAAATCCAAGCAGGCCAGGCGAAAATAGGCTTTAATACTTTGACTTTCAAAGCTTTTTAAAACTCTCATTGTCTTTCAAACTAAAACTTTCAAATCTTCATTCATTCATTCTTTCTTTCTTTCTTTCTTTCTTTCTTTCTTTCACCTTCCCACTTGTCTTCCCTTCTTTCTTTCTTTCTTTCTTCTTCCCATTTGTCTTTCCTTCTTTCTCTTGACAGATTAAGCTACCGGATAGCTCAGTGGTTAGAGCAATTGCCTGGAAGGCCAAAGGTCAAAAGTTCCTCGAAAGCAAAAGGTCAAGGGTTGAATTCCCTCTCCGGGAATCTACCTTTTCTTGCTCTCCTACCAATTCCATCACTTCTTTATTATTTCACAAGAAGTTAACCGGCTTGATCTGCTAAGGCTAATCTGTTAAGGCCAATCTGCTAAGGCTAATCCGTTAAGGCTAATCTGTTAAGGCTAATCTGCTATGGCTAATCTGCTAAGGCTAATCTGTTAAGGCTAATCTGCTATGGCTAATCTGTTAAAGCTAATCTGTTAAGGCTAATCTGCTAAGGCTAATCTGTTAAGGCTAATCTGTTAAGGCCAATCTGCTAAGGCTAATCTGTTAAGGCTAATCTGCTATGGATAATCTGTTAAAGCTAATCTGTTAAGGCTAATCTGCTAAGGCTAATCTGTTAAGGCTAATAATTCCATTTGATTCCAATCGATTTCCAGGTTGTCTGCTGGTTACCGCTATTCTTCGTAAACATTTTGATGAGCTGGAAAATGATTCACATCACCACGTATACTCGTGCCTATATCTATTGCTCGATCGTGACATTAGCCGGTGTCCTAGTGACACCGATTTTCTATCTAATCAATGACGGTTGCAGGTGGGTTTTCAAGAAATATTGAAACAATTATGTTTTGTAGTTGGTAGAGAATCTCAAGACTCTAGCTTTTGATCGCATTTCTTTTTTGCTTTTAGAGAACAGGTGATGCGATTGTTCTGTTGTCGGACGGTGCCCGCTTCGGAAAGAGAACGACAAGCTCTCATGACAACAAATCCGTATCCAGGTGAGAATGGAGATTGAGAAAATTATAGAAAATCATGTTCAGAGAAAAAGTGAGACTTGTATTCTAGAAAAAAACATGACAAAGCATGGAATTATTTAGTAGAAGACGATAAGTCTAGCAAAATTCGCCTAGCAAAAAGTCTAGCAAAGGTGAAGATTGATCCTTACACCGCATGAGCCTTGATTTGCAAGAGGACAAAGTAGCTAAAGTATTGTAAGGCTCAGGCTCAGGCTGAGGCTCAGGCTCAGGCTCAGGCTAAGGCTCAGGCTGAGGCTGAGGCTCAGGCTCAGGTTCAGGTTCAGGCTCAGGCTCAGGTTCAGGCTCAGGTTCAGGCTCAGGCTCAGGCTAAGGCTTTGGAAGAATTACAATCCTAAATCATTGCAATTATTCCAATAGACGGTCTCATAGGCAAAAATTATTCTTTTATCAGATTTTTCAACTTTCATCTCGGGTTTCCAAGGTTTTCTAGATATTTTGAATCGTTTTAAGTGATAGCTATTAAATTAAAACCTTAATGAACATCATAACTCATAGGAAATTTGGGTAAACAATCATTTTTTAAGCTCTTAAAAATTTGGGAAATCTCGGATTTACGATAGAGGATTGAAAAAATGAAAAATTTTCAAGAAATTGAAAAATAAACGAGATTGGAAATAGCCGCCCCTTTTGCCATTGGCAATCTGACTTTGAGCTCAAATTTCTTGGTGTTGGGCTGTTTAATTTAAATAGTTTCTATACCAATCGATAGAGAAAGACTTGGCGCATCTAATGGTACCAAGAACTTATGAATTGAGACGCCCAACACCAAGAAATTGGAGCTCAAAGTCGGATTGCCAATGGCAACGCCCTGCCCCCTTTGCCATCAAATTTCTTGGTGTTGAGCTGTCCAATTGAAATAGTTTTTGTACCAATCGACAGAGAAAGACTTGGGGCGTCTAATGGTATCTAGAATTTACGAATTGAGACGCCCAACACCAAGAAATTTGAGCTCAAAGTCGGATTGCTAATGGGAAATGGGGCGGAGCAATTGTGAGACTCCTTAATGATAGTCTATTGGAATAATTGGAAGAAAGTGTGCCGTTTTTTGGGCATAGTAGACACCAAAAATAAGTTTGTAAATAGAATTTTGTCAATTGCAAGCTGAAAAGCCTAGAAAAAGCTGAAAAGTCTGAGTTTTGTCGACCACAGTTCAATTCAGCAAAAAAAAAAATCGAGCAGTAAGCTGTTGTACTCATGATCAGAAAGCTACTGTTCATGTAGAATCGCAGAAATTCATGTAGAGTAGAGACAATCTTAGCGCAATAACTTCTTTTAAATTTCAAATTTACTAGCTACCGTATTTTCTCTAATATTATTGCACCCAGAGCGTCGCCTAAATTGCTCGAAATCTCGAGAACCGCTTATCAGAGCCTATCGATGTGGGGTCGGAAAACGTAGCTGACAATGAGATCTAGTGGGGGATTAGAGGGTTGAGCTTCTGGGGAAGCTTGGGAACTGTAGAATAGTCATCAACTCGGCTCGGCCGGGCGGAGGGGGAGAGGGAGAAATTAGGGAGAAAACGGTAATTCGAGAACTAACTGTACTGAATATTTTAAGTTAAGAAAATACGGTATTTGTTTTTTCTTTTTATAAACTAGACCCAATTCTGCGCTTGCACATATAAAATGATTTTGACTGGATGACAGATAAAAGTAACCAAAATGATCCTAAACTTTGATCACCAACTACTCAGCTTTTCTGGCCGCTCTATTATCGATCACCCAGCTTTTCTGGCCGATCTATTATCCAGTGAAAGTCATTTCTATATCTGCAAACACAGAATTGCATTTAGTTTCTAAAAAAACAAACAGTTAGCACAAAAATTTTCAATTTAAAAGCTTTGAAAGATTATTGCGCTAAGATTGCGAATTTTTGAGTGAAATTAGTAAATTTTGCTCTAGAGCTAGTGAAATCTGGAGCCGAGCCGAGCTCAGCTCATATTTTGATCGACCACCTCAGCCGTTCACTCGTTAGTTAGTGACGTGACGTCAACACTGACAAGAATGATGAGATTTCTTAAATTGTTTGCTCATTTTATAGGTGATAATGGCAATGAAAGTGACAATGACTTTGACAATGAGAATCCCAGCGACAATGACAATGAAAATGACAATAGCAATGAGCTGAAAATGCCGATGAAAATGAGGAACTGGCAATGTTTAGAAATCTCTGGCAATGCTTAGAAATCTCTGGCAATGCCTAGGAACCTCTGGCAATGCCTAGGAACCTCTGGCAATGCCTAGGAACCTCTGGCAATGCCTAGGAACCTCTGGCAATGCCTAGGAACCTCTGGCAATGCCTAGGAACCTCTGGCAATGCCTAGGAACCTCTGGCAATGCCTAGGAACCTCTGGCAATGCCTAGGAACCTCTGGCAATGCCTAGGAACCTCTGGCAATGGCAATTCCTGGCAATTTCTAGCTTAAGATGCCAGCTTTCCGTTTTCCATTCTCCACTCCAAATAACCATTTCATTTTTCGGGAATCTCTAATCCATTCAAGAATTAGACAACTGTTATGTGCTGCAAGCGATCGTCATCGGTCAATGATTATATCTGAATGTTCAATGTCTGAATATCAAATGTCTGCATATCAAATGTCTGAATGTGACTCTCTGCATGATCTCACCTCTTCATTTCCCCCTTATTTTTTGCAGACCGTATATCCGAGGCTCATTGGTTGATCCATCGGGGTGATCCCGAGGCACAAACAGGCACAACAAATCTCTTCATTTCCCTCTCCGCATGTGGATCGCCTGAGGACAGAAGAAAGGCATGTATATGATAAAAAAAGATTCAAATTGTGTGGGCGCATGTGTAAAGTTCGAACGGGGATTTTAATAAAGGATAACTCTTGGTCCAAAGTTGGTCCAAAAGCCAGAGGCAAGTCTACAGGATGGCCTACTGCCCAGGCCCAGTGGCCCATTATAGCGCCACACTTTAGAGGGTCTATTTTGGCCAAAATTGGGTCGATTGTTCTGATTTTTCTGGAGGTAAATCTTGAGTATTTCTCCCATCTAGGGTGCCCATTATCTAATTGATTTAAGCCTACAACCTTTTTATATAGCCTTCCAAAGTTGAGAGCCGAGTAGTTCCAAAGTTGAGAGCCGTTCCCTGTAGTGGGTCACCGTGTAGCATGATTTTTCGACAGGCTAGGTCATTTTAACCTTTCAAAATCTCAGGCGCTATCTCAGGCGCTAAAAAGTAAGACTTACTGTAATACAAGATGAGTTAAGTCTGCTCCTGGCCTGGCTTTAGATAAAATTAGCATTGAAACAACCCTGTGTAAAGATGGAAGCGCACCCTTTCTGGCACACTCAATCCTTCCTCTTGAAGCCCGATTTTTTGAGAAAAATGAGTGCCCTAGAAAGGATGTGTTTACAAAGAAGAAGAAACTGAAAGAAGAAACTCAAACACGAAAATCTTTGAGTTCGAACTTTACGCCATCGGCCACCCTCTTTTTACACTCATTTACCCTATGTTCACTCACTCAATCTCGATTTGAGATCATTCTGTTAGCTTCTAGAAAAGCTATACTAGCTAATAGCTTCTAGAAAAGCTATGCTAGCTAATGGCTTCTAGAAAAGCTATGCTAGCTAATAGCTCTAGAAATGCTATACTAGCTAATAGCTCTAGAAAGCCTATGCTAGCTAGTAGCTCTAGAAAAGCTATACTAGCTAATAGCTTCTAGAAAAGCTATCCTACATGTTTCAGCTCATTTCGTTATATTTCTCTTCTTTTTCTTCGTTCATTTTTGAAAAATACCAGAAGTAAAGCCGATTAGAAATCTTCAAAGTCTTCAAAAGTCTTCAAAATAGACGTATTTTAGGAATTAGAAAATTGAATTGAGAAAACCAATTAGGAAATTGAATTGAGGTCGATTTTAGGCCAATCAAACGTCAAAGTATCATCATCCATTTTTTCAGGACAACTACACACCCCAAGAGAGTCTATGAGTGCAACGACCGGCCTCGGCGTTTCGATTAGTCATTAGAAAATGAGTATGAGACGCCCCGCCCCTTTTGCCATTGGCAATCGGAACCTTGAGCTCAAATTTCTTGGTGTTGGGCTGTTTAATTTAAATAGTTTCTATACCAATCGATAGAGAAAGACTTGGGGCATCTAATGGTACCGAGAATATGTAAATTGGACAGCTCAACACCAAGAAATTTGATGGCAAAGGGGGCAGGGCGTTGCCATTGGCAATCTGACTTTGAACTCAAATTTCTTGGTGTTGAGTTGTCCAATTGAAATAGTTTTTGTACCAATCGATAGAGAAAGATTTGGGGCATCTAATGGTACCAAGAACTTATGAATTGAGACGCCCAACACCAAGAAATTGGAGCTCAAAGTCGGATTGCCAATGGCAACGCCCTGCCCCCTTTGCCATCAAATTTCTTGGTGTTGAGCTGTCCAATTGAAATAGTTTTTGTACCAATCGACAGAGAAAGACTTGGGGCGTCTAATGGTATCTAGAATTTACGAATTGAGACGCCCAACACCAAGAAATTTGAGCTCAAAGTCGGATTGGCAAAAGGCAAAAGGCCAAAGGCCAAAGGCCAAAGGCAAAAGCCCAAAGGCCAAAGGCAAAAGGCCAAAGGCAAAAGGGGCAGTCAAATGTCCGATAATCTTGCAAACTTGCAAAAAACGTTTCTCAATATTGAATTGTTTATTCAAATAATCAAATCTTTGAATCAATTTTTCCCATTTTAAAGACTTTTTGATGGTAATAAAGGTAAAAAAAGGTAATAAAGGTTCAAAGGTTAAAGCTTCAAACGCAAATTGCGTTAGATATTTTGAAGTTAAATATTTCTAAACGTTCAATTTATAAATGCCGAACATTTCTCATCTCGAAATCCTTTCTCTTGTCATTTCCCCCGAATTTGCATTTATTATTTATTTCTCATTTTCCAACTGGGTAAACCTGTAGCCATTTTCTGCTGTGCTTACCGTACTTATTGTACTTATTGTACTTTTCTGTGCTTACTTTACTTTTCTGTACTTTTCTGTACTTACTGTACTTTTCTGTGCTCTTTTTATTGTGTACTTTCAAAAACGGGTTCATTTTTTTGTTGATTTCCCAGTGAAAAGCGTAAAAAAAGGGTATTTTTCCAATATCGGGGAGCGGTCCGATTATCGGGGGAGCGAAAGGAAAATCGAGACTGTATTTTACTGTCTTTTAAATCGGGACTGTATTTTTACTTCAACGTTTTTTTAAAACTTTAACGACGATGCGCTTCTCCGATATTTGTGCGTTCAAGGAATCGACGGCAATCGATTATATCAACACCAAAGGAGTCATCCAGTCGTGGGTTTGCAACTGTGGCGAATCGATGAAAGTCCGCTCAAAGGGAAAAGATCTATTTCGCTGGGTATGTGACACTTGCGCACGGCGAAAGGTCCCCAAGCATTCAAGAGGAATTCGAGTCGATAACTTTTTGCAACAAAGCAAGCTCCCGTTCGTCACAATTTGTAGCGCTGCAAAAATTTGCTCCCCGATTTTCCTTTCGCTCGGAGAAGCGCATCGTCGTTAAAGTTTAAAAAAACGTTGCAGTTAAAATACAGTCGCGGAAATGGATTATTTCGAGGCGGCAAAATTTGCTCCCCCGATAATCTGACTGCTCCCCTGATATTGGAAAAGAACCAAAAAAAGAAAGAAGCGATGTGCGACCAAATCCGGATTTACGGTTACATTCCAATGCTAATTTTCTTTTCTTTGCGATCTCTTTTTTTATAAATTTAATTTATGAATTTGCATTTATGACAAGAAAAGAAAAAAAATGGCACAAAAAGACGAGAAACAAGCACAAAAGTGTACAAAAAAACAAGGAAATCAATGAAATCAATGAAATAAATGAAATAAATCAATGAAATCCATGAAATCAATGAAATCAATGAATCAAATCAATGAAATCAATGAAATCAATCAATGAAATCAATGAAATCAATGAAATCAATCAATGAAATCAATGAAATCAATCAATGAAATCAATCAATCAAATCAATCAATCAAATCAATCAAATCAATCAATCAAATCAATCAAATCAATCAAATCAATGAAATCAATCAATAAAATCAATCAAATCAATAAAATCAATCAAATCAATCAATCAAATCAAATCAATCAATCAAATCAATCAAATCAATCAATCAAATAAAGAACAATTTCTATATTTTGTTAGAATCTAACGTCAGCATCGAGGAAATCCGAGTATTTATCCTCGGGAGGTAGACGATAGAATGCCTAAAGAATATTCAGTTAATCGACTGGAAATTTCAGCCATTTTAACCCCCTTTTCAGTCCATTTGCCGTTCTCCTTATTTCTCCTTATCTCCAATCTCCTTATTTTGCTCGTATCTTTCTTTCTTTTCTCGTATCACCGGGTTTCTTTGAAAAAAAAAACGTTGAATTTGCTTTCATTTGAAAGAAAATTTGATTTGATTGCCTTCATTCGATAGAAAATTTCATTTCGAGTCGAATAAAAGCAAATTTAACGTTTTTCAAACAAACCCGGCCAAGATACGAGCAAAATAAGGAGATTGTCAACGGCAAACCGACTGAAAAAGGACGAAAAACATGCCTGGAGACTCGTAAAAGTTAATGTGCAGTTAATTGAAAGTGAAAGGTAATTGTAAAGTAATTGGAAAGTAATTGTAAAGTAATTGGAAAGTAATTGTAAAGTAATTGTAAAGTAATTGTAAAGTAATTGTAAAGTAATTGGAAAGTAATTGGAAAGTAATTGTAAAGTAATTGTAAAGTTAATTGTAAAGTTAATTGTAAAGTTAATTATAAAGTTAACTGTAAAGTTAATTGTAAAGTTAATTGCGAAATAATTGTAAAGTAATTGCAAAGTAATTGTGAAGCTAATTGTAAAGGCAATTGCGAAGTTAATTGTAAAGTTAATTGTTAAGTTAATTATAAAGTTAATTGTAAAGTTAATTGTAGAGTTAATTGCAAAGTTAATTGTAAAGTTAATTGAAAGAGTCATTTGAAACTTTTGAAAGGCTTTTCTCACACACTAAACTTACTTTCACTCGTATTTTAGACCCGGATATGGTGGCTAAAGGTGATTATAGTCTTTTTTTCTTTGGTTTCTTTTTGGTATTGAGTAAAACAGCTTTTAATTTAGGCGAAATTTTGGATTTGAAACAACTCAAAGCTAATCTTGTGCTCAAAAACGGCTCATTGTGCTCACAAAATGGAAACGAATCCTTTCTGGTAAAGTTAATCCTCTAATTTTCTAGTAAAAATGAAGAATTGCTAGCTTGCTGCTTGCTAGCTTGCTTGCTTGCTTGCTTGCTTGCTTGCTTGCTTGCTTGCTTGCTTGCTTGCTTGCTTGCTTGCTTGCTTGCTTGCTAGCTTGCTATTTGTGAAGAATTTGATGTACTAGAAGAAGAATGTCTACCATTTTGAAGAGTTCAAAGGAAACCTGAGAAACATAATCATCACCAATCATTTCTTTGCAAAGAAATTGAGTTTCTATACACTTCTTCTATAGAATCTCTATAGAATCTCTATAGAATCTCTACAGAATTTGGGTTTCTAGCAAGATTTTCAAGAAAATCTCTCCACTCACCGCATTATCATGTCCCAAATGATCATCTTTTCCTCTTCCTTCATCATCATCTTCATCATCATCATCATGTTCGACCACATCAACAGCCGTATATGATTTATAATCATAGTAGAAGACCGCCATCAACGCGAACACACAGATAATCACTGCCATGGCAACTGAAAATTTTGAGGTGAGCAATTTTGTTCTCAAAAAAAGCTTAACTTAAAATATTCAGTACAGTTAGTTCTCGAATTACCGTTTTCTCCCTAATAGTATTGTACGCAGCCGAGCCGAGTTAATGACCATTTTATGGCTTCCAAAGCTTCCCCAGAAGCTCAACATTCAAATCCCCCACTAGATCTCATCTTCAGCTACATTTTCCGACCCCACATCGATAGGCTCTGATAAGCGGTTCTCGAGATTTCGAGGAATTTAGGCAAAGCTTAGGGTGCTATTTGGGAGAATAGCACCCTAAGCATTGCCTATTAGAGAGAATACGGTAGCTTCCTTTCCGAAAAACTGACTTGCATAAACGAAGAACATTGTGGCCATATTTGAGAATGGACTCCACGCAGTAATACCGACAATAATTCCATCTCCAATGGCCGTCGTGAATAGCCAAGCTGCTTGCACAACGGATTTCATCGTTGGAGCACACTAAATTAATGCTCATAGATCTTGCTTCGAATTGAAAACTGATTTGTGCATAGTTTTGTAAGAGTTCCAACTAGTTTCAACTTTCAACTACTTTCAACTTTCAACTAGTCTTCTCCTGTAAGGCTTTCCAAAGCACTGTTGCTTTGTGTTTGATTAAACTTCAACGCACTCACCTGAGAGTAGGCGAACTCGTATCCGGTAATTGAGAAGAGAATCTCGGCCGCTGTTAAGACGACGATTTGTGGGACCTAAAAGAAAATTGAATTGAGCAAATTCTGTAGAGCAAATTCTAGATTTTTCTTCAAATTTACCTAGTCGATTTGAATTCCAGCAACCCGATCAACTTATTCAACTTTTTGCGATGACAAACCTGCCACAAGATGCTGACCGAGTTGTCCTGTACGATTTGCATGACAGGCATGTATCCATCGCTCACATAGGCGAGCTCTGGGTTTGACTGAAAATTGATTGATTGGTTTAAGGAGTTGTTTGTTTAAGAAGTCGTTTGTTTAAGAAGTTGTTTGTTTAAGAAGTTATTGGTTTAAGAAGTTAATGGCTTCAGAAGTTATTGGTTTCAGAAGTTATTGGTTTAAGGAGTTATTGGTTTAAGAAGTTATTGGTTTAAGAAGTTAATGGTTTAAGAAGTTATTGATTTAAGGAGTTATTGGTTTAAGAAGTTATTGGTTCAAGAAGTTATTGGCTTAAGAAGTTATTGGCTTAAGAAGCTATTGGTTTAAGGAGTTATTGATTCCCCAAAACTCACCGGGTTCAGCGAAATGATTCCAAAGAGATAGACGCCTCCTTGTGCTCGGATGTAAATCGAAGCGTTCAGTGATGTAACCTGGAAAATTTCATATATGCAAATCGAATAGTTGAAGAGCTTCAAGAATTTGGTTAAAATTTTAGAAAAATCCCAGAGAATTCCAGCTACATCTTGCTTACATCCGTCTCTTTTGGAGTTTTCGATCCAGCGTTCTTTGGCGTGTCGTGCATCTTGTGAAGCCACCATCTGAATGGAAAAAACGTATTAGAATAGTTGAGAACGACGTTAAACTACTGTTTTAACTACGAAATGTAGTTAAAACAGCGTTAAAACAGTGTTAAAACAATAGAAAACGTTCAAAACGACGCCGTCAAATTTCTCACAATCCAAAAAACAAGTCGAGTCACTTTAGGGACAAGTTTAGTGTGATCAAAATAGAGTTAGCTTCCCAAAATTGAAGATTTAAAGAAAAAAAACGGATAACTATGTATCAATTCATTTAAAAAGTCTAACGGAAATGCATTTACAGAAATTTGGATAGAGCGCAAGTTCAAAACCCTCAAAATCGTCAAAAAAACCGGCACAAAAAAGAAAAATGATTGTAAAAACAAAGTTTTCCAATGAAATGATCCCAACTCTTAATTATTTTAAATGATATTTGAATGTTATTTTAAGGCGCTCATTTTCCTCTATATAATCAAAGCCGAGCTCCCGTGAAAGTGGGGTTTGACGACACTAAACTTGTCCCTAAAGTGACTCGATTCCTTCTTTTGGTCACTCGCATTTTGCCCTCGAAATTTCTTCAATCCTTCGATCAATTTAAATACGTTTTAGCCTACTTTGTAGAGGAGATTTACAACTTTCAAACTTTAAACTTTAAACTACAACTTTAAACTATTTAAACTACAACTTTAGAAACTTTAAACTATTAGGTTGATGCATAAGTCTTTTTGTTCCTTTTCGTAGTTGTAGTTGCCTGTAGGTGTCTGTAGGCGCTTGTATTAGGTTGATGCATAAGTGTTTTTGTTCCTTTTCGTCTACCGTTTGAAGCCAACAAATGCACGAATTAAACTACGGTTGATTTCATTAGAAAAAGCAATTATTTTTCTGCAAAATAACATTAAAACGGGTTTAAAAATATTGAATGCCTGGATTTTCTTGAGAGTATGAAGTCGGGTAGTCAAAAAGGGCTAACTCGATGATGCGGTTTAGACACCTTAGCTAAAGATAGCTAAAGAAAACCTATCTTCGTGTCAATAGATAAAAGATAGAGAAAAAAAACGTTTGATATTTCGCCAAAATTTCAGAGAAATTCATTCAGCCAATTTTTCCGTAGAGTTTTTTATAGATTTTTACGAAAAAGGCGTTTTTCACTCTCGAATTTGCTTGAAAGTGAACCGAAATTCATTTAAAAAGATGCAAATTCAACAAAAAAAACACTTTTTTTATAGAGCAAACTATAGATTAATTCGTGAATTTGTTACTTTTTAACAGAAGTACGAAAACAAACGAAAAGACTTATGCATCAACCTAATATGACGAGTGTTAAGACATTAACATTTCAACATATTCATAAACATTTCAAATTGTTCCCAAAACTCTCCTTTAACTTTAACTTTAACTCCTTATTTGTTTACTTAGGGATCTCTTTTTATTGATTTGTTATTGTTCCCCAAAAAATATGTTGAAATGCTGAATGAAATATGTTTATCAATATTTCATTCAGCTCAAATTTTGCTCAAGCTGCTTTTCACAATCAACCGTAGTTTAATTCGTGCATTTGTTGGCTTGAAACGGCAGACGAAAAGGAACAAAAACACTTATGCATCAACCTAATACAACTTTCAAACTTTAAACTTTAAACTTTAAACTACAACTTTAAAACTTAAAACTTTAAATTACAACTTTAAACTATAACCTACAACTTTCAAACTTAAAACTCTAAACTATCTAAACTACAACTTTCAAACTTTAAACTTTAACCTACAACTTTCAAACTTAAAACTTAAAACTGCAACTTTAAACTTTAAACTATTTAAACTACAACTTTAAACTTTAAACTCTAACTTTAGAAACTTTAAACTTTAAACTATAACCTACAACTTTCAATCTTTAAACTTTAAACTATTTAACCTACAACTTTCAAACTATTTAAACTCTAAAGTACAACTTTAAAACATTAAACTTTAACCTACAACTTTAAACTTTAACCTACAACTTTAAACTTTAACCTACCCACTTTAAAACTTAAAACTCTAAACTATTTAAACTACAACTTTCAAACTTTCAAATAGTTTATAACATTCATCGATATCAGGTTTCTATCGTTGGAAATTTAAGAAAATGTTGAAATCCGCATTTCTTATGCATGTACCGAATAATTGCCTGTTCACTTTGCTTTTAAACTTCATAAATGTAATTTGTACGGAGTATTTCTAATTCCAGGGCTAATGTAGGCGAAACGAAATCGAAAACCAATAGACTTTGGCTTACAGTTAGCATTGGACCATTGTCATAAAGGTGCTAAACGATCTTTAGCCATTTAGAACCATTTAGAACCATTTAGAACGCATTTCTTATGCATTTCCCTAATAGAATGCATTTCCATGAGCCCAAAAACCCTGCTTATCTGGTGCAAAAAACCCTGCTTACCACCCATATATGGAACCTCGTTATATAGATTTTTTTTCTCACTCCCTTGAATTCCATTTAAGTGGGGGACGACTATACATCCAATTGTGTTAATTGTGATATTCTTTTGCTTCTAATTGTGATATTCTTTTGCTTCTAATTGTGATATTCTTAACAATTTAACGTACTTTCCAGGCTTCACCGGCTTCATCGAATATTGCTGAACGTAAAGCGTGACACCACTGACATTCGGGGCGGCTTTATTCGCGGCTCGTTGATATTCCAATTTATCCTCTCGATCGTCTTTTCCCTGATTGTAATCGCCTTCCCAGCTAAATTTTGGAATATTAGTGAAAAGCGATTTCAAAGCTTTAGAAAAGCTATTTCAAAGTTTTCATTCAAAGTAGAAAAGCTATTCAGTCAGTTTTTACTTTCAGCAAGTTCCCTGGTAAGGCAGAGATCTGGCAAGGCAGAGATCTGGCAAGGCAGAGATCTGGTAAGGCAGAGATCTGGTAAGGCAGAGATCTGGTAAGGCAGAGATCTGGTAAGGCAGAGATCTGGTAAGGCAGAGATCTGGTAAGGCAGAGATCTGGTAAGGCATCTCTGGGATCTCTGGTAGATTTCAGCACGTTTAAAAGAGCAATATAAAAGTCGCGAAAGATTTTTAGTATTTCATTTTTTTCAAAGCGCCCGTACTTTCAAAAAATGCGTCTTTGATATCAAAAAATAGCTGAGATTCAGGGCTTCAGGGTAGTCGAGCTTTGAACGAGTTTTTCTCGACACTGGTTTAAGCTACAATGCGTGCTTAGATATCAAAAAATAGCCCCAAATCTCAGCTATTTTGTGATACCCAAACGAACATTGTAGCATAAACCAGTGTCGAGAAAAACTCGTTCAAAGCTAGAGCTACGCAACGCTCCGCACCGTCGTTATGGGAGTGGGGTAGTATTACAGTACTATTTAGCTAACTAGGTACTAGGTAACTAGCTAACTAGGTAGCTACTTTCACCAAAAAAAAACTCAGTCAAATCCATTTCCACCCACTAATAGAAATCGGCTGGCTTTCTCGGGTCGCATTTCTTCAGTGTTCCATCATCATTAGCTCGGCATAGCACAAGATTGTCCATATTGTTGTCCGCTTGTCCATATGGAGTATTCATTGCCATCAAAAATCTGAAAAGAAAGCTTTGTTGAGTGTTTTGAATAGTGCTTTTTGCCACTCACCCAGCATTAAATTCTCCAGTTCCCTGTTCTGGCTTGTCCGTGTCGACTTCGCCATACACTGCTCCAAATGTGTTAATTGCGAAAAAGTAGACTTTTTTCGATTCAAACGATCCACCAACACTTCTCGGCAGATCGGCATTAGTCTGATAAATTCTGTTTTTGTCTGGAATCTCAATTCAAACCGTGCAGTCTCCATCCGTATAATTAATCGTAAAATTCTGGTATCCTTTTGGCACATGGAAAGATTTGCTTTCAGGGATATCTCCGTGCTTACGAACGTCTTGTTGAGACTGAAAAGGACTTCATTCAAGTTTAAGTGCATCTTTATCTTTAAGGGCATCTTTCTGGCATCTTACAAAGAAACAAAATTTCTGTTGCTTACATAGTTGAAGGGAAAATTGACGATTTCATCGGGTCCTTGAACGGTGAAAGTACAATTTGGATGCATGTTGAAGAAAGAGACAAACGCTTGGCCGCTGTCGGGGAGAACGGCGAGGGTTTGCTGAAAATTGATGAACAGTGATGTTTAAACGGGAGTAATTATGAAACGAACTGTTTTGTGTTGTTTTTTCTCTCTTTTTCATTTGCTTTTAACTATTATTAAACACTCTGTTATTGGAAGGAAAAGAAAGGCAAAAACAAAACAAAGGAAAAAGCAAAAGCGATTGCGGCTCTGAAGGAAATTCAATTGTTTGAGGAAGGAAAACGAGTGACAGAGATTGTCGATCTTTTGAAAGAGCCTCACTCGGTCGTTTCAAAAGCCATCTTTCTTCTTCTTCAAAGGCCCTGATAGTAGTGATAGAGCTTGCCAGGTGAGTGATAGAGCTTGCCAGTAGTCGGATCCAGTCTTCTGACGGACCCAAGGACTTGTCGTGGGCTATATCAGGAAAGACTTGGAGCCAAGCCTTGGCAAAACCTGGCTAACTATAGAACCTGGCTAACTATAGAACCTGGCTAACTATAGAACCTGGCTAACTATAGAACAAAACCTGGCTAACTATAGAATTTCTAATTTTCATTATAGAAGTACTTAGGATTTGTGATGAAAAACGTTGATTATCAAAATAAAATATAAACATTGATTATCGATTTTTGAGCTTTTCAATAGCCTTTTCTTAGATTCTAAATCTTACATTAACTCGAAGTTGCACGAAACCGGTGATCATGAATGAGATGGCCGCCAAAAATCCTCCGGCAACCATTTTTCTGAGTGGACTGAAAAGATCGAGGCTAGATTTTGGTGAGAATTGTCAAAACTCACGTTAAAACGATGACTTTCGAGGCAAGCGGGTAAATGAATACCTAAGCTTTAATTAGATTTGAATAAAACTTTTGTCTATACTTGGAAAATTGGGATGAAGCAGAGAATGAGGACAGCGTTGAGCACTTGCACTTGATCGGGCATGAAAAGCACATTTCCCCAAAGACGACAGTCCATTTGAATACCTGGAAATGGGAAATGGATGTAAGACCTGATTGCTATGCTATTTCTAGACTTGTTTGCTTTTAATTATCGAATTTGCGAACCTTGAATCAACCAAACGGATCCTTGTTGATCGTAGAGTGCCCAGAACATTGGGACAGGCAGGAACATGATGAGAAGACGCAAAAGTTGGCGAACATCATCAACGTAGCCAAGCTAAAAACTCTTGATTTAATCGCTTTGTCTTTGGTCGAATCTGGCTTTGGTCGATTTTTAAACAAGTCGTTTTAGCCACAATTTGAGGACAAGAGATCTCTCCTAAGATCTACAGCTCTACAAATCTACAGATCTACAGTCTACATCTACAGATCTACAGAGCCACAGATCTACAGATCCATAGCTCTACAGATCTACAGCTCTACGGATTCACAGATCCACAGCTCTACAGATCCACAGCTCTACAGATCTACAGCTTGTTGCAGTGTTTCTTTAGCTTGTCCCTCTCCTTTTCAAGACTTTTGTTATCCCCACCTTGTGACACGCTTTCTTGCTCCTCCTGTCTTGTTTCAATTGCATACATCGTGGATCACTTTCGCAAACATGCGTCGTCATGTAATGGTCCAACCAATGCTCTTTCGGCTCCGAAGCTCGCATCTTGTTGCCGAGGGCTCTCTAAAGAAATAATGATTTAAACCAGAACAAAAGTTGAGCCAATCTAATACTATAATATAATAAAAATCTTTAGTTCTTCTCGGAAATCCGGCTCTTTTCATCGTGAAAAGCCATCATGTGCAAAACCCAAAGCCAATTCGAATTTCTGAAGACTTTTCTTCGGAAAAGAGTTAGTATAAACTCCGCCAAAGTTCTACGATCCCGGGGAACAAATTTTTAACGCTGAATCGCATTTGGGAATCATTTACAGAACCAAATCACTATGTAAATGACTGACGAGATGTTCTTTGTGAGCGAGCGTAATCGCTCGCCATAGGGTAAACCGCCCTGGCATAACCTGCTTCCCTCTTGGAACCCGGAAAGGGAAAGGAGCGGCTAGTGACTGAACGGCTCCAAGCAAACGACTGAACGGCTCCAAGCAAACGACTGAACGGCTCCAAGCAAATGACTGAACGGCTCCAAGCAAATGACTGAACGGCTCCAAGCAAATGACTGAACGGCTCCAAGCAAATGACTGAACGGCTCCAAGCAAACGACTGAACGGCTCCAAGCAAAGAATTGAACGGCTCCAGGCAAACGACTGAAGGCTCCAAGCAAACGACTGAACGGCTCCAAGCAAACGACTGAACGGCTCCAAGCAAACGACTGAACGACTCAAAGCAAACGACTGAACGGCTCCAAGCAAATGACTGAACGACCACCGCTATGCCCAAATTTTTGTCTAAATTTGGCTGTATCTTTGCTACAAATTCCACAGGATGGATTGGCCTGGCAAAAAGTTTTTTGAGATCCCGTTGAAGAATATAGAAGCGAAAAAGGATCGAATTGGCTTTGGGTTTGGCAAATGATAGCTTTTCACAATGAAACGACCCGAATTTCCGTGAAAAACCAAATATTTTCAGGATAAAATCTTTGGCTGAGCACTACGAAACAAACCCTAATAATTCTGAACACTTCAGCAAAGACATTCTCTGTTGGTGGTGGTTTTTTGTACCAGAAAGAACCGGCCATGAAAAGACCTGAAACAATCGTGAAACAATTATGATACAGATACTGTTTTAATCTAATCTAAAACAGTATCAGAATTGAATTGGATATTGATTCAGTATGAATTGAATATCATAATTGATAGGGTTTTCACTGAAAGACTGGTTTTCACTTTCACTCACAAGTAGCGACGATCATGAGAATTGCAGGCACTCCAAATGCGAGTGGATAACAAGAATCTTGTCCCATGCAACTCATAGCTGAAAATAATAGATAAAATAGCTTAGCTTTTGAATAAATAGTTGTTAAAACTAGTTTTGAAACAAGCTTACATCGGAAAATCGGCGCGATAAATGTGGAAATCATAGATCCGGCGTTGATCGAAAAATAGAACATCGAGAAGAACATTGACAGCATTCTTTCCTGAAAAGATCACTCAATATATTCATCAAGTAGATCACCAAGGAGATATTAGATATTGGAGAACTTGTTGTTAAGGACCAGGTTGTTAAGGACTTAACAGGCTAGGCAAGACAAGCCTGCAGCCAGGTTCCGGCTTAGAAGTCGGATCTAGAACTAGCTTCTGAGCTGACTCTTGCTTAATCTTGTTCTGAAGCCTGAAGCCAGGTTCCGGCCTAGAAGTCAGATCTAGACCTAGCTTCTGATCTGACTCTTGCTTAATCTTGTTCTGAAGCCTGAAGCCAGGTTCCGGCCTAGAAGTCGGATCTAGACCTAGCTTCTGAGCTGACTCTTGCTTAATCTTGTTCAACCAGCCTGGCTCACGGCTTTATGAGCCGGTTACCTATAGCAAACCAATTATCTACATCTTCTATTATATTGTTATTAAACATCTCTAGCTTATATTGCTCACTTACATGTCCTTTCTCGAATTGATCTCCTCCGAAAGCGGACACGCATGGCTTGATACCACCAGTACCGAAACCGATTGTCACCAAACCGATCATGTCCATCCATCTGGAATTGGGAAATGAAACTGGTATGGCTGAAAGCTTAAACTTTAAACATTTGCACTGGAGCCTGGAGCTCTGGAGCCAAATTTGATGACTGTGAAACATTTGATACTCGCCCCGCCTGTTTTGCCATTGGCAATCCGACTTTGAGCTCAAATTTCTTGGCCTTGGGCTTCTCAATTCATAAATTCTTGGTACCATTAGATGCCCCAAGTCTTTCTCAGTCGACTGGTACAAAAACTATTTCAATTGGACACCCCAACACCAAGAAATTTGATGGCAAAGGGGGCAGGGCGTTGCCATTGGCAATCTAACTTTGAGCTCAAATTTCTTGGTGTTGGGCTGTCCAATTTACATATTCTTGGTGCCATTAGATGCGCCAAGTCTTTCTCTGTCGATTGGTATAGAAACTATTTAAATTAAACAGCCTAACACCAAGATATTTGAGCTCAAAGTCGGATTGCTATGGGGAGCGGGGGAAAATTGGGAGCGAGTATCAAATGTCCCACAATCATCAAATTTGGCTCAAAATCATTAAATGTCAAATGTCCGATAGTCAAATTTGATCTTAAGCCTTTATGAACTGACGGGTGAATGCTCGAAGAAGAGTCCTTTGTTGAGGCCAATGCTAAAATAATCTGTCCAGCTGCGTAGAGAATTGAGACGGCAAAGATTGTCCTGAAATTTTCGTTTATTTATTCATTCCTTGATTTTCACATAAAGAGTGTTTGTTATTTTATTCATTTCTTCAGTTTTAAAGCCTTTTCAATCTAGGTTCAGTTCAGTTCAGTTACCCAATTTTAAGCTTTGCGGTTAGCTTTTATTGCGGTTAGCTAGAGACAGCTTTATGAATTGGCTCTGGTTAGAAGTGTTTCTGAAAACGCACACTTCCTGGCACACAGAATTCTTCTTCTTTTTGCAATACAGTGCTCCAGGACTTGCAATACAACTCAGTGCTCCAGGAAATATGCGTTTTTATTATATGGCACAAAGAACACTAAAAAGTCTAGCGTAAATTCTTGTGTTTCGTTTTCTCAATATTTCGATCTTCTTGATTTGTTTCTTTTTTCAATACTACCTATTTCTTTCTTTCTTTCTGTCCTTCTTTCTTTCTTTCTTTCTTCTTCCCACTTGTCTTTCCTTCTTTCTCTTGGCAGATTAAGCTACCGGATAGCTCAGTGGTTAGAGCGATTGCCTGGAAGGCCAAAGGTCAAAAGTTCCTCGAAAGCTAAAGGTCAAGGGTTGAATTCCCTCTCCGGGAATCTACCTTTTCTTGCTCTCCTACCAATTCCATCACTTTCTTTCTTTCTTTCTTTCTATCTATCTTTCTTTCTGTCTTTCTTTCTTTCCTTCTGTCTTTCTATCTATCTATCTATCTTTCTTTCTGTCTTTCTATCTGTCTTCCTTCCTTTCTTTCCTTCTTTCTCCCTTTCTTTCTTTCTTTTTTTGTTATCTTCTTATGTTTTATTATACAATCTCAATGCTGATTCCGTGGATTCTTTTTCTTCAAGAAAAAAAAAAGAACAATCCGATTCCCGAGCTAAGGGAAAATAAGCAGATTAGCCGCTTTTCCGTCATTTTCGCTTATCACAAAAAAAAAGACAATCAAGACAATCAAGCAAAAGAATTAAAAAAAGAAAAATTAGTCCCAATTAAACTAAAATTAAAAAGAAAAATTAGTTCCAATTAAACTAGGGAAAATCTTAAAATAAAGTAATCAAATAATCAAAAAATACAGAATACATTAGCTGAATAACCTTTTTCTTTCTTCAATCAATTGCTATTTTTGCTATTTTTGCTATTTTTATCTTTATTAATTGCTATTTTTAAAAAATATTTTACCAAAATTTCCCGACAAATCCATCGGCAACGATCGATCCCAAAATTGGAGTGAAATAGCAGAGCACTGTGAAACCATTGAAGAAAATCGTCGACTGAGAATCGGAAAACTTCAACACGTTCAACAAATAGAAGGTCAAAACGGCTGAAATACGAATTTTGAAAAGTTTTTTTGATAGAGATGATTGACAAAATTCAAGGAATTTCGCCTAAAATCTCCCCTTTTTGCTTTTCTGAAAACCCAGGTATTTCCTTCTTTCTTTCTTTCTTTCTTTCTTCTTTCCCCTTGTCTTTCCTTCTTTCTTCCTTCCTTTCTTCTTCCCCCTTATCTCCTCCTCTTTCTCTTGGCAAGTTAAAGTGCCATATAGCTCAGGTTAGAGGTTAGAGATTGAAAAGCCAAAGCTCGAGGGTTCAATCCCCTCTCCAGAGATCTGCTTTTTTTTCCGAATCCCTGCATTTCTTTACTATTCTTATAAGAAGTTAACCACTTGAAGTGTGCACTTGAATAATTAAACAAACTTTTACAAGAAGTTAACGGGCTAATAATTCAACGAAATTCAACGAAATTCAACGAAATTCAACGAAATTCAACGAAATTCAACAAAACTCCACCAACTCACCCGACAATTGTTACTATTTTATAGAAAAAAGGGTGCTTTGCGGTTAACGCGAAGGCAGAAACTTAAGCCAGCAACAAATCCTTATCATCTGGCTATTTGGTTGCACTAAACCTGAGTTAGCCAAGGTTCAAAGTCAAGGAACTTTACGGTTAGCGGGGCTAGCGGGGACCTAGTTTTTGGCCAACTTGCAGCCCATTTTTAAGCACCTTAAACTTGTCCAATCAGGAAGTTTTAACAAGATTTAAATAGCTTAAAACGTCAGCTTTCAGAAACTATTTGTTTTATCAAAAGTTATTAACAAAAATCTAGTTAAAATCGGGCTCTAAAATGGTCAAAAGTTCGCCCTCCTCCGTAACCGTAAAGATCCGAAAAAAAGCTTTAATTAAAGGTTCAATTTTTCAACAAATGTATCAACAACAACGTTTTCAACGCTGATTCTAAATCTGTAACATTTTCTGGCGATTTCTGTATCGCAAGCTATCTGGCAAAGTTTGGATTGATTTTAGATTGGTTTTAGATTGGTTTTGGTGAGTTTGGGATTAGACAACTTGATGATTAAACGATTTTTATGCAAATTCTACGGTGACAGAATCTAGCTTAAATGGGTTACAGAGTCTAGCTTGAAGTTGGTTACAGAATCTGCCTTGAATGAGGCTATGTAAATGTAAAAAAAACGGCTTAATCAAATAGTACAAAATTTCACTTTTTCACAAAATACTTCTCATCATTTTTGCCTTGTATTCCGCCCAGTTATCAGTTATAAAAATTTACGCTCTCTTTTGCAGAAAACTCTCTTCTCTAATCGCAAAAGTACCTTGTGATTCGAAAATTTGATCCAATAACTCTGATGTAATGGAAGAATTTGAAGAATTTTTCTTTGCTAATACTTTTGAAACTCACTTCGCATTCCGTAGTAGGAGAAACGCTCGCAAAACTCATTGGAAACGATGCAGAAAGTCGTTTTTGGCCAAGCCTAAATTGTTTAAAGAATGAAAGTCTAAAATTTGAAATTGTTCGCTGTTTCCAAATGGAAATGAAAAGGAAATGAAGGTCTTATAGTTAGAATTTGAATCAATTGTCAATTGTCAATTTGTCAATGTCAAATGTCAATCAATTGTCTGGCTTAGTCAAAGCTCATGAAACCCAGGGTACCTGGCTAATATTATCTTGACTTTAACAGCTGAACAACCTTCCCTGTAACAGCCTTCCCAATAACAGCCTTCCCAATAACAGCTTTCCCAATAACAGCCTTCCCTATAACAGCTTTCCCAATAACAGCCTTCCCTGTAACAACCTTCCCTATAACAACCTTCCCTATAACAGCCTTCCCAATAACAGCCTTACAGTAAGGTGAAAGCCCTAGTTCCTGGCCCTAGTTCCTGGCCCTAGTTCCTGGCCCTGGTTCCTGGCCCTAGTTCCTAGCGGCAACATATACGTATCGGTGTATCTCATTGGTAGAGTGTTCGCCCGGTAAGCAAGAGATCGAATTCCCGTTCGAATTCCCGCTTCGAATCCCGGTACCGACCATGTTTTCTATTCCTAGCCCCAATAAAAGGACTATTCACCATTTTTACTTTACTTTATCTTTACTTTACTTTATCTTTACTTTACTTTACTTTATCTTTACTTTACTTTACTTTATCTTTACTTTACTTTATCTTTACCGGATCTTTACCAGCCTAGCCTCATTGTAAGGCTGGTATCTTTGCTCAAGTATAATAGTTAGAAGATTATTTTAAAGATATACAGGCAATCAGCTTTCTCTTTCAAATCAACCACTAATCAATGCAGCCTCTTTCACTCACTCGAATCATTTCCGGCCATGTGGTCGGCTCTTTGAAATCGCGTTTTGCCACATCTTGTCCACTTGATGAGGAACATTCTGAAAAAAGCCTTTCAATAGGGAAAAATCAACTTGTAAAGCTAATTTTGATCTCCATAAATGTATAAGGTAAAGGTTTGTAAACTGTAAAGGCTTTGTAAACAGTAAAGGCTTTGTAAACTTCTAAAAGGCTTTCTAAACTTCTAAAAGGCCTTCTAAACTTCTAAAAGGCTTTCTAAACTTCTAAAAGGCTTTCTAAACTTTTAAAAGGCTTTGTAAACTTCTAAAAGGCTTTCTAAACTTCTAAAAGGCTTTCTAAACTTCTAAAAGGCTTTGTAAACTTCTAAAAGGCTTTGTAAACTTCTAAAAGGCTTTCTAAACTTTAAAGGCTTTGTAAACTTTAAAAGGCTTTGTAAACTGTAAAGGCTTTCTAAACTGTAAAGGCTTTAACTACTTTAAGAGACTCAAAGAAAAGCAATTCAACCTATGCAAATGAGATGGGAAAAACGAATCTAAACAAATCTAAACAAATCTAATCTCTCCTTCTTTCGTGACTTGTCAAAAGTAAATCTTTGATTCGAAAAACTCACCCTCATCCGTGTCACTCCTGGGCTTTTTAGCCATTTCGAGAGAAAGAAACCCGTTGATTTAGATGCCTCTTCTCCCGCTTTGATTCAAAAATGATTCGTTGATTCGAAAAAGAGATTGAAGTGGGAAATGAGCCCAAGAAGCAGACAAAAACCCAATTGAAGGGTTGTAGAAAAGGGAAGAAGGCTTGCAAATCTCTTATCAATCAGTAAATTTTTTGGTGGTGGCAAAGAGGGGAGGTCTTCTTAAACGGCTTGGCTTTTAACCGTTTAGAATTTACCGTTTCTCTCTCTCTTTCTTTTATTTTTGAGGAGTGGCCTCAGAAATGATGCTTTTTGGCGGGGGTTTTTTTCTCTTGGAGTTTCTTGGAGTTCACTCGATGAACCCTGATGGGGAACTGATGCAAATTTGATGAGAAATACAAGAAAATGGAAATGATTGCGGCGCAAATTTGAGAAAATCCATCAATTTGTGGGGTAAGCGGATTGGGGGAAAGCCGAATTCATCAGTTCAATTCTTCAGCTCATCAGATGATTGTTTATGACGTTCTGCAGAGAAACTAGAAACTAGAAACACACCAAAGCTGGCGTACTCGAGAAATCAATAAGCAATCAAGTACTTGAGAAATCAATACTCATATCAATACTTGAGAAATCAATTTTCCACAAAGATTATTGGTGTCAAGCATTGGAAAGCAATCTTATTTGGTAAGAAAAGTGAAAAGTCGATTGTCAGAAAGGATTTAAGCTTTTAAAAACACTTTTTAAAGCACTTTTTAAAGGCAAAGTACCCGTTGAAACAATCAGAGATAGTAGATTTCCATTACAAAACCAAATTCATTCTCAATTTTTCGGTTTGGGCTAAGAAAAAGACTTCTTTCTGACCAAAAAGACCAAAAAAGACCAAACCTATTTACTATTTATCAAAAAATAAAAGATTTAGTCCTCTAGAAGGTCTATGTTTGTATCCCAGCTTTAAATGTTTAGTTGAAATGTTGAAATGTTTGATATGTGTATACAGAATGGCTGAAAAGTCCTGTCCCTCAAAAACTGGCTAATTTTGAAAGAAACTTTTGAAAATCCAACCAAACGCTGTTGATTTTCAGATTCTCCACCCATTTTCACACCAAGAGCCAAATTTTTAGATCGCTAGCTTTACTCGGATAGCTTTTATCGATGTTTCTTTATGGTGAATCAAGAGTGCCTCATCTTTAAGGGGAAAAAAGACAACGGAACAAATCCCCATTTCGTCGTGCGTTCCCCAGTTTTGTGTCAGTAAATATTTTTCATTAAAAATTCTTTTCAGCTATTTTTAGAAAGAAAAACGAATAGATTAGCCATCAAAAAGACATGTTTTTATGGTGAAAACGACCAAAAAGGGATTCTTTCCGTTGTCTTTATTCTTAATGATGAAACCGAAGGCATTTGTGATTGTGATAAAGATAAAGATGGCATTTGTGATAAAGAAACATCGATAAAAACTATCCGAGTAAAGTAAGGTAAAGTAAAGACATGTTTTTATGGTGAAAACGACCGAATAGGGATTCTTTTCGTTGTCTTTATTCTTAATGATAAAACAAAAGGCATTTGTGATTCACTATAAAGAAATATACTTTAAAACTATTCGAGTAAAGTAGGGTAAAGTAAAGACATGTTTTTATGGTGCAAACGAGGAAATAGAGATTCTTTCCGTTGTCTTTATTCTTAATGATAAAACAAAAGGCATTTGTGATCGTGATAAAGATAAAGATGGCATTTGTGATAAAGAAACATCGATAAAAACTATTCAAGTAAAGCTAGTGGTCTAAAAATTTGGCTCTTGATTTGAAAATGGGTGAAGAACCTGAAAATCAACACCGCTTTGCTGAATTGTCAAAAGTTCCTCTCAAAATTAGCCAGTTTATAAGGGGACAGGACTTTTCAGCCATTCTGTATACACATATCAAACATTTCAACATTTCAACGAAACATTTAAAGCTGGGATGCAAACATAGACCTTCTAGAGAGCTAAATCTTTTATTTTTTGATAAATAGTAACTAGGGTTGGTCTTTTTTGGTCTTTTTGGTCAGAAAGGAGTCTTTTTCTTAGTCCAAACCGGAAAGATGAGGCACTCGTGATTCACCATAAAGAAACATCCATAAAAACTATCCGAGTAAAGCTAGTGGTCTAAAAATTTGGCTCTTGATGTGAAAATGGGTGAAGAATCTGAAAATCAACAGTGTTTGGTTGGATTGTCAAAAGTTTCTATTAAAATTACTTATTTTATAAGGACTGTCTCCTCTACAGGGTGACTTTTCAGTCACCCTGTAGACCGTAAATATTAAATTCAAAGCCAAGACAAAACATTTATATCTATCGAGACGCAATAGGCGTAAAGGGCTGAGAAACTGTCTGGAAACTGTGGAAACTGTCTGGAAATTGGTGTGTTTTAGGCGAAATACCGACTACCGTATTCCGTATTTGTTTCGTTTCGTGTCCTCTATTCTCAAACTACCGTAAAAATCAAGTACAATAAGTCCTGGTCAAAATGCGGTACTCTTTTGGTACTAGACTCTAGAATTAGGTAGCAACTAACTGATTACGGTAAAAGATAAAACAGCTACCGTAATCCATTTCGAAAAATTTCCCTACCGTACAGCAAGTGATTGGTCTTGGATCATTGGATCTTCTTAAGGTCTTTTCAAGATACAGTACGCTGGTTTACGGATTTTGTCTAGGCCATACGATTACGAAGCAAGTGGATTGGTTACGGTAATTGTCTACCATAAAATTGTCTACCATAAACTTGTCTAAATGAGATTGAAAACTAGCTAAAGAGAGAGAAAGGATTGCTTTTTTTTTTCGGCAACACTATACAAAGTCTAGTCACTCGTGGAGACAAAAGGGTGTAATTTGGAGAAGTTACCAATTTTGTTTTGTTACAAACTGAAACCAAACTGGAAATGTTCTAAAACGGGCGACTTTACTTTCAAGCACGATTTTACAATCTCATCACCTATTTCAAGAATTTGAAGATAAGCAAAAGCGGCGGAAATTCGAGCTAAATTGAAACTATAGCCAGAAAAAAATATTTGAAAAGAAACCGAATTTGGTTTCATTGTACTTTTCTGTACCATTGTACTTTTCTGTACCATTATACTTTCCTGTACCATTGTACTTTCCTGTATCACTGTACTTTCCTGTACCATTGTACTTTCCTGTACCATTGTACTTTCCTGTTTCATTGTACTTTCCTGTACCATTGTACTTTCCTGTTTCATTGTACTTTCCTGTACCATTGTACTTTCCTGTTTCATTGTACTTTCCTGTACCATTGTACTTTCCTGTTTCATTGTACTTTCCTGTATCACTGTACTTTCCTGTACCATTGTACTTTCCTGTACCATTGTACTTTCCTGTTTCATTGTACTTTCCTGTATCACTGTACTTTCCTGTACCATTGTACTTTCCTGTTTCATTGTACTTTCCTGTACCATTGTACTTTCCTGGAAACGTACTCTTTCCAGCGCACTGAATTCGTGATTTCATGCAGCAAGGGGGGTCATAAGAAAAAGAAAAAGAAAAAGAGAAGAACAGGAACAGCTTGTAAAGCTTGTAAAAGGATTCTAAAAGAATTCTTTTGCACCAAAAAAAGCAATGATTTGCACCAAAAAGAAGCAATGATTTGCAATAAAAAAGAATGTTTGAATTGTTTGAAAAAAGAAAGAGCCAGTCAATTCCTGAACAAGCGAAAACCAGCAGAACAAATTGTTTACAAATGTCATTACCCACATTTTGCCTCAAATGAATTTCAAGACGAATGGTTTAATTGAGAAATGAATTGGGATGAAATTTTGAAATCATATGTAAAATACAAAGTGCTCAGTTTCAAAAGGATCAAGGGAAAATGGGAAAAATCCGGTTTTTTTTTTCAAAAGAGAATTGATTGAGTGACAAGTTTAGCCTAAATGATCGTTGAAAGGCGATCAAATATGAGGAGAGTCTTCTTTACTGTAGATTAAGATTAAGATTACTGTAGATTAAGATTACAGATTACTCTAGCATTTTAGTCTTTGATTTTCTTATGTTCTAGCTAAAGTTAACTCAAACGCTTTAGCAAACGCTTAAACGCTAAACAGCTTTCGTAAAAGTTCTAGATTTTGAGCTCAGAGTTGAGAATTTCAATGAAATTTGCTTCAAACTTGGATTCTAAAAGAATTTTAAAAGAATTCTAAAAGGATTTTTCAAAAAACTATCTTTATTCTTTAGTTTCAACTTTTTAAATTTTAGATTAGAGGATTACGTTAGTTTTTTGCGGTTTTTACGGTGTTACGATGGTATTACGATTTACGATTCATTTGATTCATCTGATTCATTAGATTCATTAGATTCATTAGATTCATTAGATTCATTTGATTCATTTGATTCATTTGATTCATTTGATTCATTTGATTCATTAGATTCATTTGATTCATTTGATTCATTTGATTCATTAGATTCATTTGATTCATTTGATTCATTTGATTCATTTGATTCTTTAGACTCATTAGGTTCATTTGATTCATTAGATTCATTAGATTCATTTGATTCATTTGATTCATTAGATTCATTTGATTCTTTAGACTCATTAGGTTCATTTGATTCATTAGATTCATTTGATTCATTTGATTCATTAGATTCATTTGATTCATTTGATTCATTTGATTCATTAGATTCATTTGATTCATTTGATTCATTAGACTCATTAGGTTCATTAGATTCATTAGACTCATTAGGTTCATTTGATTCATTTGATTCATTTGATTCATTTGATTCATTTGATTCATTTGATTCATTTGATTCATTAGGTTCATTAGATTCATTAGATTCATTTCTTCATTTGACTCATTTGATTCATTTGATTCATTAGATTCATTTGGTTCATTTGATTCATTTGATTCATTTGATTCATTTGATTCTTTAGATTCATTGGATTCATTAGACTCATTTGATTATTACAATAGAAACCTTTAAAACTAAAGATTAAACAATTGATATTGCCAATCTGCTCCTCTTTC